GAATTAAATTACTGTATTGGATTATAATTAACCCTAAAATTCATGAATTTTTTTCCTTTTTTTTTTTTTGCTGACTTATCCAAATCCTAAGTAGTTGAGATATGGGACAAAGATTTACAAGTCTGAAGAAAACCAATAAGAAGATAATAATGGGTGGGGACAAAAACGGCGCCGTCCCGAAAAGAAAAAAAAGGCAAATAGCAGTCATGTTCATGAGGTGTAAAAGAAAACGACGAGTGAAGGTGGAGGAGCCAAGTTACCCATTTATTGAAAGTCATGATCAAATATCTTTTTATTTCGTTCTAATCCTAGATCTAATTATTTTACTTTTTGAAACTTTAGATCATATTTTAATATTGTAAATATTTAGTACTGTTAATAAAATATATTTTATTTTTTTTAAAAAAAATATTATATATAAATTTATTTTTAAAAAAATAATAAGAATATTTTAACTATAATTACAAAAATGATTAAAAAGACTAGCATTTTAAAAATAAAATTGACAAAATTTTTTAATTTGTTGAAGAAAACAAAATATGTACATTGAAGTTACCCTCATGAAGCGTGGGAGTTTTACTTAGTCGACTTTCCAACCAATCAATTCACGTCATCACCGTGATCGACGGCCTCGATTTCATCTCCGTCCCACCAACGGCTCTGATTACACAACATTTTCCATCGCAAAGTCTCAGTCGCTCTACATTGCCATTTCGGAAGTGGGCCCATCGACGTCTGATTAATTTACTTAATCATATTTAATATTTTAATGTACTTAAATAATCCACATTAAAGATCTATTTAATTGCTATGTATATGCCCACTCCATCACCTACCTTTCCTTCCCTCCCAATCACATCTTATCTCCAACAATGACGCACCTCTCAGCCGGCGTTTATGCCTTCCTTCTCCTATCGGTTTCCTCGATTGTCTCCGGCGGCAGAGAAATCGCTGATGACTTTCTCCGGTTGCCATCGGAAGCATCCAGATTCTTCCGTCCGGACAGTGGTGATGATTCAGTCGGGACACGATGGGCGGTCTTGATCGCTGGATCTAGCGGATTCTGGAACTACAGGCACCAGGTGATTAAATTGTTCAAAAATAGTAATGATCAATTCCTTGTTTCGTTTTTTATAATTAATGATCGTATATGGCTATACTGTTGACTCATGATTGTGGTTATGATGACGAGATCTATAATTAATGATTCTTTTGTCTCGGTGTTGAAGTAAATAACAAGGAAGAATTTGTTAATACTTTGCGTCGGAAAATGTTTGATTTTCGTTCTTTTTGTTTCATATGATTTTGTGGTGTTTCTTTCTTGTTCAAATTCAAATATCAGAAAGAGAAACGAAGAGTTTGCGTTGCCATTTTAATTCTTTTTATTATGTGGTCCAATGAAATTCTCCTTTGGGTTATCTTTGGCTAAACGTCAGTTAAATGTGCATTCTTATATTTTTCCTTTTCTTTGGTTTTCTAAATTTTCAACTTTTGATTTTTTATTTTTTAATTTTTACAATCATGTTATGTTACAGTAAAATCATGTAAAAGAAGTGAAAAATTTGCATGTAGCTATGAAATAAAAAAATTTGATATTGTTTTTTCAAATTTTTGTCTCTGTTTCATATTCAGATCAAACAGAGTTCATGATTATTAGCTGCACTAATCTTTCCCTCCTAATAGAGTACCAAAAATTTTATTTTTCTAACAGAAGATACAACTTATAAAGTATTTTGAAGAACAATGAAAAAAAAAAAAAAAGCAACACGTTTCTGTGAGGAAATATTTTTTTCTGCAAATTCATCGAAAGTTCGGTTTTCTCCCCTATTACTCATGTATTCTATGTTATCGTTTCAACGAAAGTGTTGAACTCCAAGTTGCATGTATAGATTTCTAATTTACTGACTGTAAAAGATACAGTTATTTTCAAGGAAAAATAGAAATATTTATTTCTTATTTATATTTCATAATTTCTATTATTATATATTTTACTAATTTTAAATGGATATGAAGATGGTCTTTAAACAAATTTATTAGATAAAAAATAAGAACCTAAAAAGTTAAGAATTACATGTCTATTTTTAACATCTCAAAATTACTTTCAACAATCTAACAAGCAGCATTTACCAAACCTGGGGATTGAAACAGGAGATTTGAAACCATTTTGACCCTGAACTAACAATAGGCCACTTTGATCTTCATTTGGCTTTTGTTGAACATTTTGATTCTCACCATATGACCATGTTAGAGCAGAGTATAGCCAAATTTATATTATTAAAATTGAGCGTTTTGTTTGATGTTGGTTCTCACCCTTTGCACTTTGTTAAATTAAATTTCAGGCTGATGTTTGCCATGCCTACCAACTGCTAAAAAATGGTGGGCTAAAAGATGAAAACATCATTGTTTTCATGTATGATGACATTGCGTTCAATGAGGAAAACCCTCGGCCTGGAATCATCATTAACAGCCCTCATGGTGACGATGTCTATAAAGGAGTTCCAAAAGTTTGCTTCCTTTCCTTTACTAATCTACTTCTTGAGATCTGCATATTTCTTTTCCTCTCACCTTTTTACTTGTTTTTTTGGTAGGATTACACCGGAGGAGACGTCAACGTTCACAATTTCTTAGCTGCTATACTTGGAAATAAAACTGCCATTACTGGGGGTTCTGGAAAGGTTGTAGATAGTGGTCCGGATGATCATATCTTCATATATTATTCAGATCATGGTGGTCCTGGGGTGCTTGGTTAGTAGCCATCTAATTTTCTTCTTTCCTCTTGTTGTTTATCTTTTTGCTGTTTTTGGGGTTGGGGTGGGGGGGGAGGGAGAGTATTAAGTTGGTTGTGTCATCTGTGTTAATTGGATGCACTTAATTTGGTTGGCAAGTCTCCAAAACTTCGGAGCTTGATATCTTAATTGTTTAGTGATGCATGTGCGTTCAATTAATTGTCGCAAACCAGTGTGTTCTGGATCAGGTGACAAGAGCCACTACAAGATTTAGAATATGGGTTCCTGTCTTTCGTATCCAAAAGTCAAATTCTGCTTCTTCCTTCGTTTTTTTGGCAACAAAATGAAATGCTATATACTTGACACTTCAGTGTCATGTGGGCTCCTCAGATACCAAGCTCAATCCATGAGATATTTAGAATAGCAAGTCCAAGCCTCTTAGGGTGTAGTATCAATGGATAGCTTTTTCTTCTTTATGAAGATCAATGAGAGATGTTCTGTTTATGGAATCTTCTTGTAACTCGAGATTTGAGAAGGTACTAGGTTTCTCAACTTTCTAATTGAACTTTGATAATTAACCGCAATATCCCTGCTGTACCTCGTGATGCTGAATCCTTATTTTGGGACAGCCTAACTGACATCCAAGATTCCAATCTGTTAACCAAGAGCCTTGTCTCAGATGGCACATCTCCTCCGCATAAAATCACGTAGGTGAAGCTTTATGGGTTATACACCTATTTTCCACAAGGACTGTATCCCTTGAGGAAGAAAAAAGAAAAAAGAAAGGTCCAATGAATCACCTGAACAACTGAAACTATTAGAATATGCTTGTAAATAGTCTGTCAGTTGCACCACAATTTTCTTTTTATGTTTGTTCTTTCAATTATTCTCGTTTCATGGTCAACTTATGTCTAGATGGCGAGATTAACAATTTTTATTCATGTTCTGCCAGGTATGCCTACCAGCCCTTTCCTCTTTGCAGATGAATTGAATGATGCCTTGAAAAAGAAGCATGCTTCCGGAACCTACAAAAGCATGGTAAACTGTTTACTAAGCTTCCTGTTTCTGGATAGTTTTACATATTCTTCTGGTTTCATGTTTATGGTTGGTGAGGAAGGATGTGTTTTTGTGTTTATTTCATGGCTTTTATTGATTAAATTTCTATCAAACTGTAGGTATTTTAGCTGGACGCTTGGGAATCTGGGATTATCGATGAGGGGCTTCGCCCTG